CAATCTTGATGAAGTCTTTTTAAGAAATGATAACAATGCAGTGAGCTTTTAGGCTCAAAGTCATCGGCAAGCTTTTAATGCACTTGAAAGCTGCATGACAAAGCATTTGACGAAGCTAATATTGCCTACAATGCAGCCAATCAAATATAAATGCTCCATTTACGTTTCCGATGGGTGATCAAGTGTGAGTGTGAGTGTGTGAGTGTGTTAGTATGTAAACAATAAGCCCACTGAAATATTGTCAATCGAGGGTAGTTAGGGGCAAAGTCGAAGCCAATAACAAAACACAATGCAATAATAAATGCGCTTACGGCTCAAATATAATTAAAGACAGTCACTGTTTACACTCGGGCACAATTTGCTGGCCAGCACTGTACACACACACACACACACACACACACTTTTTTTATCGTGACTAAAATGTCGTTTTAAAATAAAATAAAAATAAAAATTGAATAAAAAATGGGGGGAATAAGAAAGAAAAAAAAAATGCTAAAATAAAAACAAAATAAAATACCAGGCAAAAAAAAATATGTTTTGCAGTTCGGAAATTTAATATGAACACTAAAGTGAAAGTAAGTAAATAAATGAGGTGTGCCTGTCGGACACACACTGTCTGTGTGTGTGAGTGTATGACCGCGAACGCCCCACAAGGAAGGCTATCATGAAGGGCATCCTTATATATGTACGAGTATATGGAAATTTCATAAAGTGCAATTCATTTTAACACAATTTTCTGTGGTTTCCGCATGACAAATTAAAATACACTACACAACAAAAGCAGGCACTACATAGTTGAAAAGCTAATGTTGCTTACATATGGGAATAGAGCTCAGCTTAGTATACTCTTTCAAAAGCAGAGCCAAAGTAATAGAAGAAAACTATTCGATTACATTTCTTATTATAGGGAACACATTGAGTGTGAGAACAGAATACTGAGAACAGTTTGGTTTACTACTAAAAAAGCAGAGAAATGGGAACAGATGGGACATGAGAACAGATAAGGTAGAACAGTTTAGTTGGCTCTGCTGAAACTAAAACAAAAGTAATACAAAGAAACTATTCTCTTATTATAGGGAACAGTTTGAATGTGAGAACAAGAGACTGAGAACAGTTTAGTTTACTCTTATGAAAGGAGCACCAAATATACATATGCAGGAAGCTGTTGTCCACTTACTGTTCCCAGTTAAAGAAACCCTAACTGTTGCGCTTTGAGAAGCTTTTGTTTCAAGTGAACTTTATACTCTCTCACGGCACGGCAGGTGATCCGGGCCGCCGAGCACTGAACTTTGAATTAGATCGTTAATTGACTTGTAAAATCGTCTTTGAGATAGACATAAATGATGGATATTATGTTTGATGCCCACCTATGAGACTGACGAACTGACAGACTGTTGGACTGATGGACTGACTGCCTTGTTGCACAAGATGCTTTTAATGAAAATGCAATAGCCGTTAAATCGTGTTGGTTTTTGTTGTTGTTTATATAAATTTTTTATAGCTCCTAAGCAATAAATAAAGCCATTCAATGTTTCTTTATAATCGTGCATTGCTTTGCACTCAACCGAATAATGTGGGTAATAAATGCCGCTGGCGCTGGCGTTGGCGTTGGCGCTGCCGATCGTTGAAGCTTTCATCACAATGCCTTGACATTTCATCAAGCTTGCAAAGCTCCAAGATTAACTCGAACGGAGAGGAAGCGAGAGCTTAACTTTGCTGCACAGTGTAGTCGCTTGTAAGCGGCTTATTTATGCGATCCATGGCAAAAGGGTCCGTAGGACATGAAAAGGTACGACAGGCGAAGGATTTGCAGTTAATGCAGCGAGCGTCAACAGCGACAACAACAACAAAGGTCACACGCAGATGGCTTAATGTCAATTTAAAAGCAAAGCAATCAGCAAACGCGACGTGCAGATACCCTTCAATGCGTGAGCAAACTTCTGTCAAGTAATACAATAACAGAAATAGTGCTTACAGAACTCAGTTATATTTATTAATTATGGATATTAGCGCATATAAATCAATGAGTGACTTATACATACCCTATAAAAACTAGTTAATAGGGTTTCTACTGCATAAAAGTATGGAATGTGTTCAGTAATATGTTTTAAAATTAAATCATATGTGAAAATGAAATGATGAAAATTAATAGCAGATACCCTGTAAACTGTGAACTATTTTTGTTGGTTAAATTTTCCAGGCAATTTCAAATTTCGAACTTGTACTTGTCTTTTCAAGCAAATTCTAAATCTGGAATAAGCTATAAACTGAAATCGACTTTTAGATACCCTATAATATGATATCCTGTAAGAATTTGTTGTTTGAAATTTATATCAGTGCATAAAATACAAAATGTATAAATTACAGGGTATATAAAGCATCAAATTTTTTAAGCTCAGGCATAAATGAGTGAGAGACCAAAATGACACTAGCACTAATATACCCTGTCGGCATACTTTCAGGTATGGAGCATTGAATTTAGGCAACCACAATACGCCAAAACTGTCCCAACTAGAGATGAGAGGCAGGAGACAAAGACAAAGAGAAAGAGAGTGAGAAAGAAAGAAAGAACTGTTGGCAATGCAACCGACCACATATCAGGGATGGCTAAAACCAACTGTACAACATGCGAGGCGAACACCAACACGCAAGCCGATTGAGATGGAGCTGCGATGGAGGCAGCTGTGGCAGAGGTTGTGCCAGCCGCAGTGGTCAATGTGGCGCATTTGTTAGAATGCAACGAGGCAGCGCGGAGGCGCGACGAGGCTGAAGACATCGCCATCAACGTCTTTGGGGCCAGCGCGCGTTGGTCAAACAGCATGCCAAACGTCAGAGGCGTCTGCCGAGTCCAACAAAAGTCCAGGGTGTCCACCTTGTCCCGGCCAGCGTCCATATGCGGAAACGCAATTTTGTCGTTATTTATGGACCTTGGCGTGCATGCAACATGCATGGTGTGCTGGAGCAGCAACAGCAACGGCAACAGCAACGGCAGCAACAGCAGCAACAACGTATCGCAGCCTCCGCTATAACAGGATGACCATCGACGTGGCATTAGAAGCAAGAACAAGAAGATGTAGAAGAAGGAAGAGGAAGAAGGAGGAGGAGCAGCAGAAGCAGCAGGAGGAGAAAACGAAGCTGTGGCAGCGGCATGCAGATGCAGATGACGATGACTTAGTTGGTGTTGCAGGCAACAGGCAACAGGCAGCAGGCAGCAGGCAGCGGGCAGCACCTTGCTCGAGGTGCTTACCACACGGCGCACATTCGAGCCGTAACGGTTCTCTATTAGATTAATTTATATTCAAATTTTTATTACTTGCGCATACCAAAAGCGCGGCGATGATGATGATGGCGGCTGCTGTTGCTGTTGCTGCTGTTGCTGCTGCCGCGGCTGTTGCTCTAAAATGAATTGCCAGGCGCTGTTGCCGAGGTTGAGGCTGTGGCACATCCGCGTGGAGGCTGCGGCTGACTCTTTGGCTATGTATTATTAGCCTCTCGCCTACTTGCAGATTCGATGCACGCCAAATGCCACAGATGTGGCTGCTGTTGCTGTTGTTGCTGTTGTTGCAATAACGTATAGTAGAAACAGTTACAACGGAAGCTGTCATTCGCCTTGGGAATGGGGTCTGAGGATTGCCAGCGAAATGTTTCGGGCCATGGCTAAAATGGGGGGAATTGCGCTGGCGTTGCAGCCAGTTGTTGTTGTTGTTGTTGCTGCTGTTGCCTGTTGCTCTTGTTAGTGTTTGTTGCCTATCGCAATAATTAACAGTAAAACGGACAGCGGTTAATTCAAATGCATGAGAAATGCAAATGATGCAACATTTTGTAAGCCAAAAGGACGTCTCGATGCCACCAACAACTGTTCTCAATGAAGTTGTTGTTGCTGCTGCTGCTGTTGCTGTTGGTGCTGATGGCGCAGCTGTTGCAGCTGTTGCTGGTGTTGCAAGGTCCAACTATGTGCGACAATTAGCCAAGATTTATGATAAGATGTGGGCCTTGGCACATGGAGCAAGCAACAAGCTTAATTAACAAATCAAAAAAAAAAAAAAGGGACAATCGATTAGCAATCGATTACATCGATTAAATCGATATCGATTGGTAGCAATTGTAATTTAATAATCAGATGAATAGTATCAAATGCTTTGAATAATATCTAAACTTTATAGAAGAATCTCTAAGAGTATTCTAAAGCAATTTCTTCTTTCTAATCAACATCTATCTCTATCTCTATTTCGATCTCTATTGTTAAGAAAATCATAATACCCGACACATGTCTATAACCACAGCTAATTGATATTGTATCATTAGTCAGCTTATAATTGATGGATTTTCCAGCACTCTTCCTTTCATTGACTCAATTTGTTAGCGATGACGAAGCGGCGCAATAAAATGATTTAGATAATCATAGAAAATTATAGAAAATTGGCGGAAATTAAAAAATGATAACAAAATCTATTAAAAATGTGAAAAATATATATATATTGTACGATATATGTATGTATGTAAATATATAAAAAAAATTTGAGCTTGAGCTATGGAATGGGTACAAAATATATCTTTTATAATTTTATTATAATCATATTAGATCATATTTTGAGAAACAGCAATTCAGATGTTTCATAGAAAAAACATTCAGAAATATTCGAGAGTTCTATAAGTGTTTCAATAATGCTCATAAGACAACTAGACAGCAGTGAGAGGGTATCGAATCAAGCAACGAAAAGAACCAACGACAATGTTCCTAAGGATAGACAAAAACATTTTACTTAAGAAATTTTAATACCCGAGATCTATATATATTATATATGATTATATGTATATAATCTATTATGTATAATTCTTATGTGTATTCTAGAAACTAACTTACATTCCAAAAGATGAATTTCAGTCTCGAAAATATCTTTCATAGCCCCACTTTACTCAAGAGATCTCTAAGATAAATGTATATCTAAGCTAAACATCTATAGTGATGCCTATAATACTAGATATAGGGCTTTACTCACCCTTGTAAATGTTCCTCGACATCGGCGACTATGTAGACGGGTTGTCCGGTGCCGCTGGTGGTTGTGGCATAGGGCAGACCCGCCTGCACCACCACCTGGCCGTCGGAGACGAGGCTGCCAATATCACCGCCCGAGTAGATCTCGAGGCCCTTCTGATCGCTGGTGGAGTAGATGACAGTCTTGCTGCCGTCGTTGTAGATCAAATCGATGTGCTTGTCCGGCTGATACAGCTCCGGATCCAGTTTCTGTGGCACGCCCGACAAATGTGGCAGCTGCTTCACATTCACATTGACGCCATTCGGATCGGATGTGGTGTAGATGATGGAGCCACCGCCGGCGGCATGCTTCTTGTGATCCTCGTAGATCTCTGCCTCCGTTTTGATCACATTGTCGTTGCCATAGTGCAGCACCGAGGCATCCAGGGGCAGGGGTGAGGTCTGATAGACAGCCTGATGCTCGTTGTTCAGCTTCTGGGCCTGGTTGTACATGGCGGTGGCCACCGCATTGTCGTTGGGCATCAGCTTGGAGGGATCGCTAACGATGCGCGTCAGTATGTGCTCGCCCGCCTCGTTTCTGGAGAGGATGTGATGCTCGCCATTGATGATCTCCCGCGAGATGATCTGCTGCTGCTCGCCATTCGGACCGACAACGCGTATGATTTGATTCTCATCGAACTCGATCTTGGCCAGCGGCTGATGCTCCGTCTGCTGCTGTTGCTGTTGTTGTTGTTGTTGCTGCTGCTGCTGCTGCTGCTGCTGATGCTGTGAGCTCATTTGTGCCGCGATGCGTGCATCTATCACCTGGCCATCGTCATGGCCACCATTCGAGCCGCCACCATTGCCACCGCCCGGACCGCCGTCCGGCGGCATCACCACCTTGGGCGTCTCATAGATGAACACGGCCTCCTTGTCGTACAGCTTGGCCGAATCTGTGTGCAGATCGAGGACATTCACGTTCGTCATGGTCGCCAGCTCCGGCTGCGGACTGTCCGGCGATCGATGCATTGTGGTTAGCAGCGGCACACCGTTCTGGCCCAGGGGCGAACTGTTGCTGCTGGCTACAATGTTGGCGCCCTGCTGGATGGGCGAGAGGGAGGCGTCGCTCAGATGGCCACCCACTACACCGACGCCGCCGATAACGCCGACGCCCACGCCCACGCCCCCAACGACGCCCAGGCGATGTGTGTGTGTGTGCGTGTGTGGATGCAGCGAGTGTGTGTGCGTATGGCCGTGGGCGTGGCCGTGTTGCTGATGGGCGTGTGCGTGGGCGGACAGCGATAGATCGTTGTTGGACGTAATGACGCTCGTTGTCGCCGTGGATGTGGACATCATATATATATATATCGGGGTGTATATATATATATATGTGTGTGTGCGTGTGTGTGTATATCTAGGCGAAACTAATTATTGAACAAATTTGTGGAAGACTTTGAACTTTGAACTTGAGTTGTTGCTGTCGTTGTGGCTGTTGCTTTTGTTGTTGTTGTTGCAGCTGGCAAATGGCGAAGGCATTCGAAGTGTTGCAGGTTGTATGTTGTTTGTTGTTGTTGTTGTTGTTGGTGGTGGCAAGCTTTGTTTGTTACGAGTATATAAACTTTAATAATATCACTATCACGTTATGAATGAAGGCACTTGTTGTTGTTGTTGTTGTTGATGTTGTTGTGGTTGTTGTGGTTGTTGTTGCTGTTGTTGTGGTTACTGTTGTTGCTGTTGATGTTGCTGCTGTTTCAATATTGCTTTTGTTTGTATGGCACTAAGGAACTTGGATAACAACTAGCTCCTCTATCGTTGTAATTAACTGCAATCAAAGAAAGAGAAATAGAAAATATTAAAAAAATAATTAAAAAACAAAAAAAAAAAAAACAAAAATGGTGTAATAAAAACTTTTTAATATTTGAAAATTTTTAATTTAAGAGGAGACTGTAAAAACGAAATCGCAATTTTGCTTGAATTAAGCAGAATTAAATTTAAAATACCCAACTATTTCTTTCAAGCTTGAAGCTTTTAAAGATTTTATATGAATTCCCAAATCTAAAAAATTAAAAAATATCATTTAAAGCAGAAGGCCCTATTCAGCTATAAAATCTTTAAAATGTTTTTCATATATTTCTAGATTTTAGTTTAAGGGTTAAAATTCACATAAGGTAGGCCTATATATCTTTTTATATTTAGAGCAATTACTTATATAAAGTATAGATTCAATTCTTTGGAACTTTAAGCATTGGTGCGTCTATATATCTAAATAAATTGATAAATATACAAAGCATTAGATCCATCATATGCTATCTCTATTCAAAGACCTAAAAATGGTATTCACACACATCCCCAAGCATTTGATCCTTCAAGTCGTCGCCTCTCTGGAACCCCGAGCAGTTCTGTATGTATACATATATGCTGTATGGTAATATATTATTATATGGAATTCAAGAGCGGGAATGTCGCTCACACTGTGACTCACAATAATAATCATTTGAAATGGAAACCAAAAACAATCAGCTTTGTTTCGTATTGGTGATTCAATTCCACGAACGAAGAAGCCGCTAATTGCAAATTAAATATATTGGGCAATTACTAAAATTATTTATTGCAAAATTTTCTCGTATTCAGTCGCTAAATATTGACTGTAATATGAAAGTTTTATTATTTGCAATTTTATTATTATTAATTTTACTATTACTATTTTAAGTTACAAAATGTGAATAATATTATTGTCAATTTTAAAGAATTTTGCTCATATAAAAAAAAAAACTATATTTAATTTTTATAAATTATGATTTCAAAATCTATTGACTCTATTGATAATTTCAACATTGCATATTCTCTATTATTATGCTATATATGTTCTATTTCTCTACATATACTACTTTCTTTATATGCTCTATCAAACCCATCAGCTCTACCTATCTCTCACAGCTCCATCTACCTTTGCTCCGCCTAACTGCTGCCCATTCATAATCCCTATAAGCTCGACCCTAACAGCTCAGTTAAGTATAAAGCTTGTTAGCATTCACTCATTCCATCTCATTTATAATAATAAACAATTATATTCAGGTAAAAGATATTTTATATATAAAAAAAAAACTGGGCCTGTTTGACCGGGTGGATCGTGCCTTCTAAACAATAATAATAAAAATAAATAACAAACTAAACTAAACGTTAACGGAATGTGGAACGGGCTCAAATGTTTGCGGTTTCCCCGATGAGTCGATAATGCGCTGCGTTGTTGTTGTTGTCGTCTCAGTTGTTGTTGTTGTTGTTGAGTTGAACGTTTTGCACAAAGCGAACAAACATGCAAACAAACATAAACACTGAAAACCGAAACAGTAACGAAACAAGTGGGAGGCTAGGCGGGGTTAGCCGGCCGTGCCAAAGGGAGTGCGACAGAGAGAGAGAGAGCAACAGGGCGACAGGGCGAGGGACGGGCAAACAAAAGCGGTGCACACGTGCCCGTCGAACTAGTTTGACTCCTTCGCAAATGTCAAACGTGTAACTGCATAACTCATCACATCAACAACAACAGGTGGAAAGAAGCAGAAGAGGAAGCAGCAGAGGAAGCAACACCAGCAGTGGCAGAGGCAGTGGCAGCGCCGTCAACGCTGGCAGCGCTTAGCTTATTTGTGTTTTGTTTACAGTAAAAACGGCATTCAAGTTAGCAGCAGAGGCAGAGGCAGCAGCAGCAGCAGCAGCAGCAGCAGAGGCAACAACATCAACTGTGAATGGAATAGTCCAGTTTGTTTAACTCTTTAACGGTTTCTGTTGCTGTTTCATTTTCAATTTCGATTTCAGTTTCAATTCCAGAATCTCACAAAACCAAAAATAAAGCAAAACATGTTTGATAACAACAACAGAAATGAAATGAAACGAAACAAACAAACAACAAGAGGCAACACAACTTGTTGCTGTGTTTTGTTTTGTTTTGATTTTTTAGAACAGGTACCGGTAGGTAGGTAGTTCCAAACAACAACAACAACAACAACAACAACAAGAGAAGCAGCAGCAGCAGCTACAAGTCATGTGCCGCCAATCCTTGACCTAATCCAGAAGTTGCTGATGCTGACTTTCTGGTTCAGCCACAACAGGCCAGGCCAGGCACACATTGGCACTGGCCCCGCCCCCACACCCTGCCTGGGAACTGGGAACTGGCAACTGGCAACTGGAACCCGGTTCAGGTGGCACGTCCACTGCCACTGCCAGTTATTGTTTGATAAAAAAAAAATCAGACACCAAAAAAAAAAAAAAAAAAAACGAGAAAAAAAAGTAAGCAAAGTAAAGCTGGCGTCGCAAAGTTCATGAGGCTGCCTTTGAGACGCTGTCTGTTGGGGATGTGGATAAACTTGTTTTCTTTTCTTTTCAGCATTTTTTTTTTTTTTCGTCAGTTCAACCAAGCTGAGCCGGTTGGGGTTCAACTCGCAGATCGTGTGTCTGCTCCTCGTTTGCCCATGCTGCCGCTGCCGCTGCTGCTGCTGCTGCTGCTGTTGCTGGTTCCGTTAGTAGGTGAGGTCAGTGTCATGTGGCGCGCTTTGGTAGACTAGTTTTTGGCACACACACACACACACACACACACAGAGACAGTCATAATGTACACCCAACCCCTTGTCAGCTGCTAAACCGGTCAATATCTTCTATATATAAATACTATATTGATGAGCTGCACGCCCGGCACGTGGCCCCAACCGGGCTTAGCGTTAGCCCGCTCGGGCCCCTGTCCGCCCCTGCCACGCCTCTTGGCTAGAAAGTCGTCAAGCAATTAGAAAACAATTAAAATGAAATCAAGAACAAATTCAAACTTGGCCAATTTGTGCAGCTTTATTGCTTTATATAACGATTGAGGTCAATTTGATGTGCCCTTCGCTCTACCAACTCTCCCTCCTCCTCTGCCTCCCCATCTCTTTCTCACTCCCTCTAAATCCCTCACCAAGTGTTTCTTTTTCGAGTGTTTGCCCCGAGCCATCTAGATATGCTCGAGCGCATTTATTCTATTTATCCACTTAATACTTTCAAGAGCAAAACCCCATAAAAAGAGGAAGAGAAAGAGAGAGAGAGAGAGAATGGGAGAGACATAAAAAAACTGAGCTAAATCTTTGGAACTGATTAAACGCTTTTGTCTAAACTGATCTAGGCAAATTGAAAGATTCAAGCGGGAGTTAATGATGTTCCATATATTTTCGAATTTCGAATAGATGTCAGACGATATGCAATTTAATTAAATCAATTCAATATCTGTGACATTTGATGTGATAGAAGAGAGATCAAACAGTTAGGTTATTTTTGCAAGGCATAATGATTGAGTTAAAGAAGATATAAGAGACAGCAGGAGGCGTGGTAGTTAAGATAAAGTATGTATGTATTATATTGGATATATGCATGTAATTAATAGGGATCTACAGCCAGCTCCACCTCGTCTTAAACGGCTGTCTTTCCCTGTGTTTTTACAAGTGAATGAGAATAGATTAACTATTCCTATATTTATTATAAGATCGAGATATCATTTATGAAATATGTCCATATAATATTTGCAAAGCTTAAAAGGCTAGTCTAGTTTGATTTGTATAATAATAATGAAGAGATTTATAAGTACTTCCAGCAAAAACCCCAAATCGAATTTCAGGCTAGTGTAATTTTGTAATCTTTCTAAGTCAACATTGATTGATATACCTATGTTATATTTATAGATATATTTATACATATTATATAATATCATATTATAATATTCCCAAGAACTCTCGCTGTTGCTTAAGCAGAAGTCAAATGCAACATTGTTGCGAGACGTGATTTGCATTTAAATAGGTTTAGTTGATATCATATCAGAAATCACATTTAATATTATTCCTATAGTAATAAGTACTGTTGATCTAGTTGGCAGTGTACGACTAGAATATACCCAGCACTGAGCACAAGGTGAACCAAGTATTGATGGTTTGAGAGCAGGACATAGAATCTAGATCTCTTTAGTGCCAAAGCTTAACGAGGAGAATACAGACTTCACGTCATGGACCACGCCTCCTTTCGCCTTTTACTTTACAGTTTCAAGCTGAATTTGCATATTCAATGCGTCTAGGGTAAACGAACTCATATTGGACAGTTACGAAATTAGATTCAGCCATATATTTATATACACAATGATCATAATGATCAACTAATTAAATTTTATTTGCTTAATTGACTTGTTTGTTTAAGTTTGATCGAAATTCGCATTTATGTATCTTCGGCAAATCAGTGAAACGGAAGAAAGTATAAAATAAATATTTTATGGGATTAAAAACTGTTCCATAGCAAGATCAATTGAATTGAAAATAATACATAATATTTTCTGATCAAAGAAAAATGTTAATAGAATGGAAAGATGGTAGATTGTAGATTGTAAATATCTCTTATCTTATCGTATAGTTTATAGCGATCTTTTTTTAAGACCTGTATGATGCTTCTAATGCCTCAACAAAATTCAATTAACATCTCATATAACTATCATATATCAGAGAATAGCTAACTAAAATTTTTCACATGAGTATTCCTTTGGGAATCTTTCATATACGATATACCTCAATCAAATTAATTAATATGCATAAAAGTTTCATCATCTTTCTATATTTTTAGAAATAAATGAATATATATGTACGTAATCTTAGCTATCGACTATATATCCAAAAATATATACATTAAGTGAAACCCCGTCTCTAATTTATTCACATTAGAAATTTAATCTGTGCATTGTTTTTATTATTGAATCTTAAAGTCGTTTGTATTTGTATTCTCGCATTTGCCCTAACTAACTGCTTGGCTTTCAGAATGGAGGAATAT